GTTTCGAGCCAAATGTACTCTTACATTTTGCCCAAATTCTGTTACTAAGAATTTCTTTTAATTTGATTCTCAGACTGAATGTTTCAGTCCATGTCTATTGATTCAAGTTTTCTTTCCCTTAAAACTTCCTTGTGAACCTTTCTATAAAAATTTACTATTCAGTCAGTCTTTACTTTTTCTCTTCTCCAATTAAAATTTAAACAGAAAATAATTGCGTTGTGTGCATTATAATACGAAGCAATTTTACGTAGAAATAAATTTACTAGAGATGAGAATATGTGTGCTTTTTTTCTGATAACAGAGAATCAGATAAGTTCATTTTTGCCTTGGGGCTTTAGATATATTCAGATATTTTTTAAAAAATATTTTACTTCAAAAATCTGTGTTCTGAGTGATTGTTATGAAACAATCCTTAATGAAAAACAAATCTTTATCATTGAACAGATTTTCCGTTGATAAAGAATTAATGGGTTAAAGAAAAAATAAAGATAAATCTAAGTTTAGCTGCATACCATTACAGATCTGGATCTACCATCTATTACTTTGAAATAAAAATAGTCCATTTATATAATGTCCACCTAAATACTTCATGGCATGTCTTGCCTTCTGAATGCATTTGTGAATTTGTCATCAAAATTCAGAATGCCTATCAGTGAAAGAATTACGTCTTGAACTTAATTGGATTAAATGGACCTGTAGCACACCCCACATTAATATTGCATGGCTTTCTTGAATGATTTATTGGTGGTCTCACTTTGTATAATAAGAATGAAAGAGTAGCTGAAAACTCTCTGGGCAAATATATATTAATTACAATTTATTTTTGAAGTAGAGTTTCCTTTTATGCCAAGAGTTCATAGCCACAAAGGGCAAGCAATATTCTCAGCTACTTGGGAAACACTATGTGCTTAAAATAGTTCTTTAAGCTTATAAAAATCTGAATGCAGCTTTCCAAACATCCTTTCTTATTTTTGAACAAGACTGCTATTTTTGTGGACCCTGGACTACATGAACTAAACCCTGAGGCAGAAGCTGCAGTTTCGTGATATTGTGCTAAGTTCTCGTTAAAAGAAGAAAAGCAGAAAGAGAAAGAATAAGGAAGAAAAAAAGGCTCGAGGAACAACCACATACTGAGACTGGCTAGATAAGTTTCCAGGGAAAATATTTTAAGCAAATGGTACCCTTGACAGGTTATATGTTTATTTATGGGACAAACTCCCACATATTCTATTATGCTCTGAAATGAATGAATGCTGATCATGCTGTAGTCCCCAGAACTATATGCATTTAAATTAAAAATATAGAAAGTACAGTATACACTAAGGTGGGATCTATTGACTGTGTCAGGAATAGCAGCATTTTCATTTTTCCTTTTGTAATAGAAGTCATTGTGTGTGTGTTTAGGATGGATTCTTGGTCTTTATTAATCTCGCAGTCGGAGCATTTGGGATTTTAAAAGCTATTGATTTTTCAAAAAGAGATTGTGGTCCTATTTTATGGTATCCCTCTACTACTATTTCAAAGCTGTAAGCGGAGTATTCAGTGCAGAGGAGTCCGGTACTTGGTGACGTGATTTAGGAACCTCTTTTGGCATGTTTTGAAGGATTTCGATACTTGTTTGCCTCTAGGGAATAAACAATAATTTCATTTAATTAATGAGGTTTCTTTCCCTCCCTCCGCTTTGACTGCATTATCATTAATTGTGATAAGAAATGATGCAAAATGGGAGCTTTTAGTGTGTCTTTCAGTCGTATAATCTCTCAAGACCTCGTAAGTAATCTGTTTTCTTTCCCAGTCACTTTTAATTTCCACTTACCTCTGAATCTTATTCCCTAAAGTATTTGAAACTTCTTTGGCCCATAGAATAAACTGTTTATTCTTCTTCCAATGAAGAGTTCTGTTTTGTTATTATTGTCAATACAAAATGAATATTGAAACAAAATAGACATATTTACATTATTTTCTGTTACTGCTTTACATTTATATTTATATTTATATTTATATTTATATTTATATTTTGTCACTGCTTTGACCGTGAATGTGGAAAGGTTGGACTACAGCTGATTCTTACGAAGACAATGTTTATGAGAAACAGCCTTGTTCCTGACGCTCCATTCGCTCTCAACGGAACCACCATCTCCGAATGCAACAGTTATATATACCTAGGTCGAGAAATCAACATGATGAATGACCTGGCACCTGAGTTGCGCAGGAGGAAGAGAGCGGCTTGGAATGCCTTCAAGAACATTGAAGAAATAACTAAAAGGACAAAGAACCTCCAGCTACGAGCACATCTCTTTAATTCCACTATTCTTCCTGCATTAACATATGCCTCAGAGACCTGGACCCTACGAAAACAGGATGAGAACACTATTCGGGTCTCTCAAAGAGGAATCGAAAGAACTATGCTTGGAATATCACGATTCACTCAAATGAGAGATAGAATCCGGAGTTCTGATCTTCGTCAACGCTCAAGAATCAGAGACGCTGTCTCATTTGCCAAGACATCAAAAATCAGATGGGCTGGACACGTAATGAGGTTTACAGACAACCGCTGGACTAGAGCCATTACTGATTGGATTCCACGGGACATCAAAAGATCACGTGGATGCCCACCTATAAGATGGTCAGACTTCTTCGTCAAGACCCTAAATGATCGGTTTGAGGCTCTGCATGTTCCTAGAACAAACAGATACCATTGGGCTACACTAGCACACAACCAGGATGAATGGAGACGTTACTGGCACCCGCTCGAATAAATCGATGAATAACGGGGATTAAGTGAGTAAGTGATTAAATGACTGCTTTATATTACCTCATAATATGAGAGAGGAAAAGACAAAAAGAATGAATATATAACAAATGGGATTCTGGGAATTGAACCCAGGTTGGCCACGTGCAAGACAAACGCCCTACCTGCTGTGCTATCGCTCCAGTCTAAGAATCCATTATTCTCTTCCTCTATATGTAGACTAGGATTAAGAGAATTCTTTACATTATCATAATTTTCAATAATAGCTGTTAAAATGCAAAAAGGAGGACTAGAAACCCTCAATTATAATGAGTACTATAAGATTATGGGAAAATTTTAACATGTTCTATTTATTTTTATAGTGGTAAAAGCATAACGATGGCATAGAATCTCCAATACATTAAAAAGACGTACCGTCAAGAAAAATGCCAGATGATGTGGGTATGAATAAATCTGAAAACTCATGGTTGAGCTTTGGTTTTGAGAATGGGAGTATAAACCATATATTGTAGTTAAATTCTTTAAAATTTGGCTACAGGGGGTGGAGAGACAGAATAGAGAGTAAGGATTTTGCTACATAAGATCCCTGACACTAAATATCTTTGTCTGGTACATGCCAGGAATGATCCCTGAGAACCAGAAGTAGCCCTGAGCACTGCCAAGTGTGACCCAGAAAGTAAAACAAAACAAAAAATAATAACAGCACAATAAAGGCACTGTATAACATTAGTAAGTTAGATATGCATTGACAGCTTCATAGTCTTTTATTTAACTACTATAAAAGGTGTGATCGGCTTGTTCAAATTATGGTAGACATTAAAAAATAAATATAAGCGGATGTGTTCTGAGACAAATTATTATGTTGTTAAAAAAAAAGAACAACTAGTGGACTGCCAATGAAAATACACTACTTTTCTTGAAACAGTTTCTGTCATATCCCCAGATTAATTGCATTTTGAATTCTGCAAAATCATTCTGATTTTTGTCTTGTTATTTTATAATTAGGAAAACAAAGCAATATTATAAAACATGAACTGAATTTCATGGTTTTCTATATGTTCTGGTTTATAAAGCGAAAAAAGATTCCTCAGTGGAAAGTTATTTACATTGCTTATTTGAAATATTTGTTTTAATTAAGAAGTACTTTCAATGGTTTAACGTTTTAAGTCTTTTCCCAGTGGTTAGGAAGGACAATTCCTTTGATTTTTCTTTTTTAAGTTTTGGGTCACACTCAAAGGTGTTCAGGGGCTATTTATGGCAAGTTGATTGAGGATCATCCTTTGGGGTGCTCAGGTGACACTACAGTGCCACCTTTGAACTCTGACCTCAGACACCAAAGCATGTTCACTAGTCATTTAAGCAACCTCTCTAATACAAAATTCCAAAGGTTCTTAAATGTCCAGGTTTTGCCTTTCCAGTCTTTTAAATAATTATATAATTCTTAAAGTTTCTTATAATTCTGTAAAATTTTTACTAGTAATTAAATTTCATATATCCTTATATTTCTCCTGAGATTGTTTTTCCTATCATTGGAAAGGCTATAATAAATATTTTTCATTTGTTAATTTTTTCTTTTAGAATAGATAACATTAATAATTGAACTACTTATACCAATCAAGAGAAAAGATTAAATAAATTTGCATATTTGAAAAGATTAAATAAATTTGCATATTTGAAAAGTATTTTCCCTTGATATGCTAAGTATTGGACATAATGGTCATGATTCCAGGTAGAAACTTGGCGATATTTAGGGGAAGAATTATATGATATGAAAAATTTTTAGTACAAAATTCTGAGATACAGGTAAGAAGATTTGTATAAGACCAAATCAGCAGGAGTGAAATCACTCATAAAGTCTATATTGATTTACAAAGTGACTTTCACACTGGATTTCTGAGGAGACAACTTCATGAAAACATTTAGTGATGACAAGATAATTCTGTGAGGCAATTGAAAGCCTATTAAGTTTGAATGAGGATATTTTAACCTCTCTGTCCTAAGGAGCAGTTTTGTCAATTTAATTTGTAAAATTTACAAATACAGTCAAGCCAAAATAACACAATAAGAAAACCACTCCTATGCATTTATCTGAAGAATTTTCAAAGATTAATTTGAAACAGTACATACCATTTTCATTCAAATAAATAAAACATTAATTTATTATTTACAAGGCACAAAATCTTAACTAGTTAGGAACGAATAGACCTTTCTTTTTTTCTTTTTCTTTCTTTTTTTTCATATTTCCCCAAATAGGTGCACCATCTTGGAGGTACTACAATACCAGGTGGATTCATGGAATGCACGAAGCAAGCTGCTATTCCATTTCCTAGTCCCCCAAATCCATTTCATATATTGTCCTTGGATAGAGGACGTATCAGATATTAAATTGATAAGAACAAATACAACTCTCGATTTTAGCCAAAGGCCACGAAGCGATGATGAACAGATCTTTCTTAATCAAGTAGAGGGCAACAATAGGCACCAAATTTTTTCTAAGTGGGGAAGCACGAGCAGTTTCTTTTTCTTTCTTTCTTTCTTTCTTTCTTTCTTTCTTTCTTTCTTTCTTTCTTTCTTTCTTTTTCCTTCCCTTCCTTCCTTCCTTCCTTCCTTCTTTCTTTTCTCTTCCTTCCCCTTCCTTCCTTCCTTCCTTCCTTCCTTCCTTCCTTCCTTCCTTCCTTCCTTCCTTCCTTCCATCTTCCTTCCTTCCTTCCTTCCTTCCTTCCTTCCTTCCTTCCTTCCTTCCTTCCTTCCTTCCTCTCTTTCCCTCCCTCTTTCCCTGCTTTTCCCTCCTTCCTTCCGCCTCTCCTTTTTTTTTTGTGGTGATGCACACCTGATGGTGCTTAGGGCTTACTCCTGGCTCTACCCTCAGAGATAATTTATGAAGAAACTTGGAGGAACGTATATGTTGCCAGGATTGAAACTCTGTTGGCCAAAGTAACCTCTGATGGGCAAGTAACCAGTCTGCTATACTATTTCTCTGGCACCATTTTACCTGTTAAAAGAAACCCACTTAATGCTTCTTGAAAAACTAGTCAAGACTATGAATTGCCCACCATTCACTACTAGCCTATAGAGTCTCATTCAACAGATCTGCTGAGGATTTCATGGGAGTTCCTTTGTAATGTTACTTTCCTCTTTGTTCTTACTGCTTTCCATAGTCAGTCTCTGTCTTTGGCTTTTGTCATTCTGATTACAACTTGTCTTGGAGTTTTTCTATTTGTGTCTACTTTCCTGGGACCCCTTGGGCTTCTAGCATCTGAGTAGAGGCGCTCCTCACCACTGGAGAATTCTCACCTACAATTTCTTCAACAAGAGGTTCTCTGCTAAAATTTCCTTCCTATCCCTCAGGAAAAGTTGTTTCTCTTGAACTCATCCCATAGTTCTCTGGTGTGCTACATTTCTTTTCAGATCTTTTCCTTCTGATCTTTTTAATATGCACGATCTAGTTCATAGCAGCATTATCCACAGTAGCAAAATAAACTTTAGAAATGAAAAAATAATTTTACCAGTTTCCTCATCACTGTATCACTGTCATCCTGTTGTTCATCGATTTCCTCGAGCAGGCAGCAGTAACGTCTCCATTTGTCCTAGACCTGAGGCTTTAGCAAGTGCCACATTGGAGGCTCTTTCAAGGTCAGAGGAATGAGCCCCATCATTGTTACTGGGTTTTGGCATATCTAATATGCCACGGGAGCTTGCCAGACTCTGCTGTGCTTGTGGGCAGGATACTCGCGGTAGGCTGCTGGGTTCTCAGAGAGCGAGAACTAGACAATAAGCTTGAACTAGACTAACTTCCCAGAGCTTCGTTTTATAGTCTCTGGGTCTTGGCCGATGATGGGATTACACGGTGCTGGAGGAAGTTGGTGGGTATAATTCCTAGCTACTGGAGGATGGCGGATCTGGGTGGAGGAGGCCCAGTACCAATCCGAGAAGCTTGGAAATCTCAGCCCCGGGTCTCGCACACCTGGGTTCCTCTGCCTGTTCCTTCATGTGTGAGGCTCATCCAAGCATGTGGAGAGTGGCCTTGAGCATGGCTGTGGCTGGTCCCGGAGGTCTTCAGCTCCAGGGCTCTGCTCAAGGCAGGGAAAGAAAGTCAACCCATCCCTCTCCAAGGGGCTCCAGTGAGGACAGCCAGGCACAGGGGCAGGAGACTCTGCCTGAGGGTGATCACTGTATCACTGTATCACTGTAATCCCCTTGTTCCTTCATTAACTCGAGTGGGCGCCAGTAACGTCTCTATTTGTCCTAGCCCTGATATTTTACAAGCCTCTCTGAATTCGTCTTTCCCAATGATTGGAGGCTTTTTCAGGGCTAGGGGAGTGAGACCTGTTATTAATGAGACCAAAGTTACTGCTTTGGCACACCAATTTTCTCATGTGAAACACAAATAACCAAAACAAACTTTAAAAATACAAGAACATTAATTCAACTTTTATTAAAAACATAATAGTCACTAGAGTTACTAAAGAGGAAGTAAAAAGAGATGGGAGGAGAGTGGTAGAAAAGATCAAGTTGATAATATTGAATGACATTAGAACTTAGGTATTAGGTGTATGAATCACATAAACAATTAAAAGAATGAATCTGTGTTTATAGAAAATTGTAGCACTGTCTGTCATCTCATTGTACATCAATTTGCTTGGCAGGCACCAGTAACGTCTCCATCGTGAGACTTGTTGTTACTGTTTTTGGCATATCGAACACATCACAGATAGCTTTCCCAGGCTCTGCCATGCGGCGGATACTTTCAGTAGCTTGCTGTGCTCTCAAAGAGGGACTGAGGAATCGAACCCTGGTCATCTGCGTGCAAGGCAAATCCCCTACCTCTGTGCTATTGCTCCAGCCCAACAGAAAATTAGCTGATGGAAACCAAAAGTAAATCAATAATATTTTATTAATAAATCATGAGATTCAGAATATTGTAATTTTAACTTTTTGAAATGCAATCATTGTTCATGATCAATGTATATTGTAAACATCATGGGTTACTTTATCAAGTATTGTTTCTGACTTGGTGGAGATTCTTATAATCAAACAAATTTTGTAACTGAGAAAGAATACAGTTCTGACCAAAAAAATTAACTTCATGTTTTCTTTTTAAAAAATATTTTCATATTGTTTAAATATGTAGTATCAGTGAGCAAGATATAAGTCATAATATCATCATTTCTCTATAAAAACATGAATTATGAATGAATTGCAAAATAATAGGCTTTCATGGCGTACTAAAATGGAGAACAAAGATTACAGAAGAATTTGAGCATTAAATGTCAGCAAAGTATTCTCTCAGGGAAGTTATTAACAGGTTGACATGACTATCTATTTAAGCCAGATAATCCCTTTTTGTATTTTTTCCATTTTTCAATATGGATAAACACAACCATAATCTCTCCATTATTTCAGTTATCTGGGTTCTTTTGTATTCTTATTCCTTATAGAAGAATGAATATAAAATATAGTTTACAGGTTAAATCTTTGTTGGATTCCTCCACTATCCTCTCCACCTCACTGTTCCATTTTACATTAAAAGAAAAATTTTTCTCTTTTAAAAGAAAAATGCCTGTATTTTTTTCATTTCTCACTAAAGAAAACATGTTTTTAAAAATAAAATTAAAACTGAAAAAAGGGGCTATGAAAAGTTATGTATATTTTTCTAATACTCTACTAATTAATAAATATTTTAAAAGAAATATTGTTAGTGCCTGTGCAATCTTAGAAAAATACATGAGAAACTAAGAAGAAAAACTTTTACAAGGTGGTTTGGTATTTCTGTATAATACTTAATGATCTGAAATTCTTGAGGACTCAGCTATTTCATATGATTAGTTTTTCCATTTCTTATCAAACTCAAAAGTACTAAATTAAAGAGAAATCCTTCTAAAATGTGTTAAAATAAAAGTACCTGTTCCATGGAACAGTAAATTCTAATAGCAGCTCCATTATAATAATTTAGCAGAAGAATCACATTTATTTTTCGTTGCATTGCAAAGTCTGAAATTATATTTTTATCACAGGAGATGTTCTTTTCTCGCACAGAATGCAGTGATACTGAGAGTTTTAATTGTTGTTTTGTTTGGATATTTTATAATGCATAGCTGGTACATTCCTCTCCTTACTACCTGGCTTTTAGCTTTTTCTCCTTTCTGTCAGAGAATCTGGCAATAATTGGCTACCATCTTTCCAACTATTCTTTATTTTCTGTAGTAATAGGGGAAAATGTGAACACCTAATTAGCCTTGGACACAAAATAGAACTTCATTGGGTGTTTGATAGTTCTCAAAGAATAAATTACAAGAGTTTAAGAGTAAATTATTGGGACTGGAGTAATAGCACAGCGGGTAGGGAATTTGGCTCCATGAGGCCGACACAGATTTGATTCCCAGCCTCCCATATGGTTCCCTGAGTACTACCATGTGTAATTCCTGAGTGCGTGAGCCAGGAGTAACCCCTGTGCATCGCTGGGTGTGTCCTAAAAAGAAAAAAAATAAATTATTTAAGGAGCGATAGCACAGCGGTAAGGCATTTGCCTTGCACACAGCCACCCAGTCCAGCCAGGTTTGATTCCTCCGCCCCTCTTGGAGAGCCTGGCAAGCTACCAAGAGTATCTTGCCCACATGGCAAAGTCTGGCAAGCTACCCATGACGTATTCAATATGCCAAACACAGTAACAACAAGTCTCACAATGGAGACGTTACTGGGCCCACTGGAGCAAATCGATGAACAATGGGAGGACAGTGTTTGTTTGACAGTGACTTAGAGAACAAATTATTACAAGAATATGAGCTTTCTGGAGGTAGCTCGGCTGACTGATCTAAGAATAAGAGCTTTCTTACATATTTTTTTAATATGTTCAAGTATTTACAGTAGAAGAGATATCTTAGCATGTTGGCACTTGCGTTGCATGAGGCTGATCTGAATTCAATCACCAACAGCACATGCAAGAGAAGTGCTTGAGTCTCACCAAGAATGATCTCTGAATGCAGAGCCCCGAATGTAAGCCCTGAGCACCATTTGGGTATAGTAAAACAAAACAAAAAGGAAAACAAAAAAACCTAAGTAACTAAGCAGAGAAGCCTAAGCAATGGCATAATTTCAACTATACAATCTATTTTCTAGATCCTTATTTTAACACTCACCACAAATCAAGTAACAATATCACTATAGTTCACTGTATGTTTTCTCAAGTTTCTATATTTCAACCAAAGCAGCTTTTAATCTTCACCAAAACTATAGGAAATAGTTAACTTATTGTGTTTTCTGATTCAGGCATAATAAAATTAGGACAAACTGGCAGGCTACCGAATGTAACCTGCCCACACGACAGAGTCTGGCAAACACCCCGTGGCGTACCCAATATGCCAAATACCAGTAACAATGATGGGTCTCATTCTCCTAATCCTGAAAGAGCCTTGAATATGGCACTTTTTAAAAAATCTC